AAATATTGGAACAAGGCAAATGGGTGTCTATCTGGATAGTAATAAAACAAGGGAACTTAGGGCAAATGGGTTTCTTTGTGGGTAGCAATAAAATATTGGGAACTTAGGGCAAATGGGTTTCTTTGTGGGTAGCAATAAAATATTGGGAACTTAGGGCAAATGGGTTTTCTTTGTGGGTAGCAATAAAATATTGGGAACAAGGCAATTGGGTTTCTATGTGTATATCAATAAAACATGGGAACTTAAGGCAAGTAGGTTTCTTTGTGGGTAGCAAGAAAACATGAGAACATACGGCAAATGGGTTTCTTTGTGGGTAGCAATAAAATATTGGGAACAAGGCAAATGGGTTTCTATGTGTATATCAATAAAACATGGGAACTTAAGGCAAGTAGGTTTCTTTGTGGGTAGCAAGAAAACAGGGGAACATATGGCAAATGGGTTTCTACAACTAGCAAAATGGTTCAGGTGAAACATTAATAAACTGGCTCTAATTCTGAAATTTAACATGTACCTAACATGTACCTTAATTATTGCTATTTCTATAATTTTAACCAGAGTTTTCTTCCAGGCATCTATTCGGGGGGGGGGGGGGGGGGGGTGTTATGCCCCCCCCCGAAGAAAGTCTACCGCCCCCCCCCCCCCCGAACGAAATGGAATTTATATTGAAAATATATACATTTAACAGTGTCCGCCCCCCCCCCCCCCTCAAGAAAGTCTACCCGAAAATTTCAATTGCCCCCCCCCCCCCCGAAGAAAAAAGTCTGGAAGAACCACTGATTGATTTTAACTCTAACACTAATCCTAAAATATATGTATTTATAGGCCTGTATCCAGTCTAACCTGCAAGCTGTATATATTATTTTACAGCTAGAAAAAAAACACCAAAATGTTTTAGAGTTTCGTTTGAGGTTGTTAGCTATTCCTAGCTTCATTAAGTGGTTAGTTTTTTCTAGCTTCTTTAAGTTATTTGCTTTCCATAACTTCATTAATTGGCTAGCTATTCATAGCTTCATTAAGTGGTTAGTTTTTTCTAGCTTCATTAAGTTATTAGCTTTCCATAACTTCATTAATTGGCTAGCTATTTCTAGCTTCATGAGAGTGATTAGCTATTCCTAGCTTCATTAAGTGGTTAGTTTTTTCTAGCTTCATTAAGTGATTAGCTATTCCTAGTTGCATAAAATGATTATCTATTCCATAGCTTCATTAAGTGGTTAGCAATTCCATAGCTTCATTACGTGTTTCAGATAAATTAAAGAAATTTCACATATAAGTAAAAGATCTAATTTCCTGCCTTCTGTAAAAGTTTGAGTAATTTCCGTTGACCGGAAGTGGTAATTTACGCTATTTCCGATTTCTTACAAAACGCTTATGAATTTATAAAGTACTTATAATATTCCGCACTATTATACACACATTGTTTGTCGTTCACTTGGTGCGCAGTTCTTTATCTACGAGATTCTATTCTATTTTAAAAAGTTTAAGTAATTAAAAATGGATTAAAATCATGTCAATTTCCAGAAAAATACAATTTTAAATTAAGTATCACTTTATAAAATTTTAACTTTCTTTAATCTTAAAAATAAAAATAATATCACAGCAGGTGAAATTAATCTAAACCAAACCAAACAAACCAACAAATAAAACACATAAACATTGCCGTACCATTAACCTCCGCGCTACACTGCACAATCGTCAGTGTGAAGCAAACGACGAAAAAGATTTCTATGCAGTTCATTTTCTCAGAAAAAAACGATGAGGAATGTTTCATTAGTTTGATGAAGTGCCTGACCAATGTTGGTCTCAGGTTATATAACGTTAGGACAATCAATCAGTCGTTAAAACATAGTTAAGTCAAACCGTTTTCAAACAGGCGGTCTGTTCCGTGTTTGCATTTCAATTAAGCAGGTTTTTGATTGGGTGGGTTTCAATTACATTTTAACACATGATTATTTAAAATTATCTCTTTGTTGTCGAAATTCCAGTACATCTGTGTTTAGATGTTTAGATGTTTTGGATTTTGAGGCGCATAGGATGTTGATAAAGACGAATATTTTTTAAAATTACTTATACCATTAACCTTCCACAAACACTTCCTCATCTTCGTCTTCACACTTATCCTCTTCATGCTCATCCAGATCCACATTTCCATCCACATCCAAATTCACATCCACAATTACATACAAATCCACTTCCACATAATATATCCATATCCACATCCACAATTACATCCACAATTACATCCACAATTACATCCACAATTACATCCACAATTACATCCACAATTACATCCACAATTACATCCTCATCCTCATCCTCATCCACATCCACATCCACATTCACATCCACATCCACATCCACATCCACATCCACATCCACATCCACATCCACATCCACATCCACATCCACATCCACATCCACATCCACATCCACATCCACATCCACATCCACATCCACATTCACATTCACATTCACATTCACATTCACATTCACATTCACATTCACATTCACATTCACATTCTACATCCACATCTGTAACCACATCCACTTCTTCGTATGCAAATAGCCTACACCTGCAACTACATCACTGAAACCATCAGAAACAAGTGCCAAGGGCCACGTCCAAGCAGTAATTGACATTTAATTAGTTAACTTACCCCCTCACAAAGACTCACGTAGAACTACGCCCTTACGTAAATTATGCAGATGTAACCAGTATAGGCTGTGCACGGTAACATGTGTGGTGGTGTTGACTCAATAGTCGTTTCCCAGCATGTAGACACAACACCACCTTTGTGTGGATTTTATTGTTGCTGAAACTCTCTAGCCCACACCCTTGTAATTTATTGACTAGTGTGTGTGTATAAGAGAAAATGTGTGCGTTTGTGTAGTGGTGAGAGTGTGTTTGTGTGTTGGATGGGTGAGTGTGTATGTTTTTTTTTACTTTCTCGAATATTCGAAGTATGGAGAAAGTCTTGTAATCGCGCAAACAAACAAAAAATCGAGATTTTTGCAAATCTCGACGTTTTTCACGTCACTGATACGGAATGTCTGTGTGTATGTGTGTGTGTCTGTGTATCTGTGTGTCTGTAAACACAATAACTTTAGTGGCGTTACATCTAGGTTGATGAAATTTCATATATAAGTATTTTATCTAAAATCGTAGATCCGTATCAACTTTTGAGCGATTTCCGACAACCGGAAGTGGTACTTTTGTTACTTTCTATTTTTTAAAAGCCTATAACTTGAGTACTATTTCAGATAGATAAATGAAATTTCATATGTAAGTAAAAGATCTAATTTTGAGCAATTTCCGTTGACCGGAAGTACTAATTTACGCTATTTCCGATTTCTCAAAAACTAATGTAAATTTATAAAGTACTAATAATATTCCGAACTATTATGCACATTTTATTTGGCGTTCACTGGTGTGCAATTTTTTTGTCTACGAGATTTTATTCTATTTTAAAAAGTTTAAGTATTTAAAATGGATTAAAATTCATATCTGTATCCCGAGTTCCCATCCCCGTTTTATTTTAATATAAGAATATTCGAGGAAGTTTAGGGGAGAATACTCCCGCTTTATTTTTATGTGTATGCATGCTTGTTTGCTGGATGTGTTTCCTTCCGTATTTTCTCAGTTGCATGCAAACGCTTCTTGAGGTATTTTACTAAATCGTTCTATCTGTAACAGTCATCTGCTACGTGCAGACAGAACATATAAAAAAAATCAAGGAAACAAAAACTCATATCAGCTGCACTTCTTTATTTTCTTCGTGATAACATGTCCGTTTTCTCAACCTTTGGTACTGGTACAGTTAAAAGTTGGCTTACAGCAGTCAGGGTTGTTGCCCTTGTTCTCGAATGTGACAATACAATTTGCAGGAAATTCCATATTTGGACAACTGTAAGGATATATATATATATATATATATATATATATATATATATATATATATATATATATATATATATATATATATATATATATATATATATATATATATATATATATATATATTCACTTTGATATTTTTACTGTAATCATTACCGTAATTATATTGTATATATACCGTAACATACATATACATTTATTTATATTTATAAATGTATGTTTGTGTATATACATAAATACATATTTTTATATATGTAAAAGTAAACTATACTTAACTGAGTATAAAACAGTCAATTGACTACTTTATACGTTAGAATGTACATCGACTAGACAAAAATGTAACTTACCCTGCGCATGTGTAAGCCTCTTTGAGACACTTGCATTTCTTGCAGCCTGCTTCATACCACACGCCCCCCACTTTCACCCCATTAGGACACGGCCCTGTCATGGAGAAACAGAAACGGAAATCAGTTTCTTCTTTTAGGCGATGTGACGAATGCTAGATAAATGAAATATTAAATGAGCCATTGATTTCGGTGTGCTAAAAAAATATTAGAAATAACACATTTGGGGAGTAAGGATAAAACTTCTCTCTTTTTTATGACTTATGAAAGAGGAGAGTATTCGGATCCCGGGCTAGAGAAAGTTTAACGTCCCTGAGTGCACTCAACGTCCCTGAGTCCACTCAGCTCTGATGGGTACCTGACTCATGTTACGGAAACTAAGGTGGGCTTGGCATAGTGCTGACCACTCTATCCCACTGTTTGATAACGTCACTGAACAGGTAACATTACATTACCTGCTCTACATGTCTTGGGCAGAAACGGGAATAGGCAATTCTTTGTGTAGTTACTTTTATTTTCAAAGGGGTAAGCCAAATTCGTTTTTTTCCCGCAATTATCTTTTAGAATTAAATTTAAATATAACTGTCTCTAGTGTATGAAAGAAAGCATTTTTTAAAATTGTATCGAATGCCAGTCTTTTATGTAAACCAAAAGTACCCAGGGGCGTAGCGAGGGGGGGGGGGGGCGGGGGGTGCGGACCGCACCGGGTGACACCATTTAGGGGGGTGACACCAAGGCAAAAAATAGCAAGTTATATAGAGAAAAACTTGAGGGGGGTGCAAATCGAAAACTTGAGGGAGGGGGTGGGGTGCAAATCAAAAGTTTGAGGGGGGGGGGGGTGCAAATCGAAAGTTTGAGGGGGGGGGGTTCAAATCGAAAATTTGAAAGTTTGTCCCCGGGAAGGGTCGCTACGCCTCCTGGAGGGGGGGGGGTAGACACCATTAAGTGCCGCACCGGGTGACACCCGACCTCGCTACGCCACTGAAAGTACCATCGTTTAATTTTAACAAAATGTCCACCGTTAAATAAATTTTACTACAAAGTGTCATAAAATTCAGTTATTTTATATATAACAAAATATCTGTGACACCCGACCTCGCTACGCCACTGAAAGTACCATCGTTTAATTTTAACAAAATGTCCACCGTTAAATAAATTTTACTACAAAGTGTCATAAAATTCAGTTATTTTATATATAACAAAATATCTGTCCAAATAATAGTGTTCGTCTATTATTTAAAAGCTAACATCTATTAGTTTAAGAAACGAAACAATGTCTGTGGTGAATATTTATATTATGTATTAAAGTCTGTAATTTTTAACATTAGAACTAGGACTGTAAAAGAGACATAAAAAAAAAGAAAAATCTGAAAGCAAGTTAGAAACCCCATCTGATAATAATTATCATTAAAAAAGTTTTAAAAAACCCACGTTTTCTGATTGAACTAAAAAGTAGAAAATAAATGCTATACATCACAATAATGCAAGCGATCACTCTACTATAAGCGATGAAAAGCGTGGGGCGCCGAAGTAAAAGTTTTTTATCGGTCATTGTTAATATAAGATGTAAAAGTTAAATTACTATTGATTAGATAATACTATTGACTTTTATTAGGGAGCTTGTAGAGAGTCAACAGTATTAGAAACTGTAAGAAAATCACGGCGCCCCACGTTTTTCATCGCTTATAGTAGAGTGATCGCTTGCATTATTGTGATGTATAGCATTTATTTTCTACTTTTTAGTTCAATCAGAAAACGTGGGTTTTTAAAAACATTTTTATAATGATAATTATTTTCTACTTTTTATTCTTTGTCTGTTTGTTTGCATTCAAATCTTGCTATCGATTTTATCTTCTCGCATTCACTTTTTTTGGGTAAACGAAGACAACTCGTAAAAAACACGTGCCTTTTCCAAACGACGTTTCTTCTGTGTTGCCGTTTCTTTCACCGTTGTTTGTACACAAACACCGCGTGACCACTAATCAGTAAGCCAAAATAGGGAGAGTACCGAACCTTGTTTTCATCAAATTACAATTACTGGGTTATGTCCCTTTTTCCCCACGTTTTTTGTACAAATATATAGCTGTCTAAAATGATCAATAAAATGTTTTCATGGATCAATTTAGTAATAATAACAATTGAATATTCTTTTGTCATCGGAAACAAAGCTTCCCTAAAAATTTCAGCGCGCTAGCTAACTGGGAAGTGCCCGAAATTTCGATCGCAAGATTTGATTGGAAAAAAAGACGCGAAAGCAAGTTAAAGAAAACGTGGGAAGAAAAAAAAAACTTACCCTTGACGTAGGTAATTTGGGCCACGGTCAGTGTGACGCATACGACGGATAGAAGACAGACGAGAACTAGAGTTTTCATGTTGGTAGAATACTTGAATCTGGTAGCTACAACAAACTCTGGTGTCGAGTCCGAGTAAACACCAGTTATATACTTAAAACAGCGTTCTACAACATCTGGTAGTATCGAGTTTCGTTATTCAAATTATGAGGAATGTTATCGTTTCAAGTGAAAAACAACATGTGCAAAAATAATTTCCAGACAAAAAGAATATTTAAATATTTTTTTCTTTTGAAACTGCATATAGACTTGGGTAATTTGAATACAATTGTAATTTATAGACGTCATCTCATTATTGATGTTACAAAGAACGGGTCTCCTTGAAGTGTATATCTGCTGTTATCGAGTTTGCTTTTGTGTGGGTGTTTCTCCGTCTGCCATGAAACCGGGGGCGGGAGGGGGGGGGGGGGAATAGTGGGTTGTGGGGGGGGGGGGCATTTAACAAAGTAGCTGTAGGACGGGTCAGTATCAATATTGTAGCTGTGAGGGGAAAGTCGGCACAGCTATACAGGCAGCACTATAGTTATTATAGAGACATGACTATAGATATTATAGAGACAATACTATAGATAGTATAGAGATAACACTATAAATAGTATAGAGATAATACTATAGATATTATAGAGACAACACTATAGATATTATAGAGATAACACTATAGCTGTGATAGAGACAACACTATAGCTGTGATAGAGACAACACTATAGCTGTGATAGAGACAACACTATAGCTGTGATAGAGACAACACTATAGCTGTGATAGAGACAACACTATAGCTGTGATAGAGACAACACTATAGCTGTGATAGAGACAACACTATAGCTGTGATAGAGACAACACTATAGCTGTGATAGAGACAACACTATAGCTGTGATAGAGACAACACTATAGCTGTGATAGAGACAACACTATAGCTGTGATAGAGACAACACTATAGCTGTGATAGAGACATTGTGTAAGGAACAGCCAGCAATATAGCTAGAAGAAGGACAGTAAGACAGTCAGCAATATAGCTAGAAGAAGGACAGTAAGACAGTCAGCAATATAGCTAGAAGAAGGACAGTAAGACAGTCAGCAATATAGCTAGAAGAAGGACAGTAAGACAGTCAGCAATATAGCTAGAAGAAGGACAGTAAGACAGTCAGCAATATAGCTAGAAGAAGGACAGTAAGACAGTCAGCAATATAGCTAGAAGAAGGACAGTAAGACAGTCAGCAATATAGCTAGAAGAAGGACAGTAAGACAGTCAGCAATATAGCTAGAAGAAGGACAGTAAGACAGTCAGCAATATAGCTAGAAGAAGGACAGTAAGACAGTCAGCAATATAGCTAGAAGAAGGACAGTAAGACAGTCAGCAATATAGCTGTGAGCTGAGACTGAGCCATGGGACACTATAACCTTGGGGAGAAACATTCATATATTATTTCTTATATTTATTTATTTAAAATAGAGCTTTTTAAAATAGTCTGCTTACATTTCAAATTTTACTTTCAAATTATCATCGACATCGTTCTATATGCAACAGTTTTCATTAATTTTTGACATATTTGATTAGCAAAATCACCTCTATATTTAGGTATGAACATTTTAAAACATGATTATTGTGAGTCAGCCTCTCAAAACTGTAGGACGCTCCGCATTGAAACTGTTTAGTCATACACCCGTCTAAATACTCACCGGATTACTTCGCTCAAATTATAACTATAAAATATTAAAATATTTAGTTTCATTTTTTTTATCCTTGTGATAATTTGTCCAAAATACTGTGTCCTAGAAATATTATCCTGTTGCAATTTGAACTGGAGATATTTCTTAGTTGGTTATTTTGTCCAAAGTATCAGACCACATACAAAATGTCCTTCAAGGATTGACCATGCACCCTCGCCAGATTGTCGAGGTCGAAACTAAAGTTAAGAGTTTTAAAGCAGATTGCTTAATTAACGGGTAGGTTCCGGAAAAAAAACATGGAAAAAAACCCCACTTCTTAATTAGTAAGTCATTTTAAATATATGTGTGTGTATCTAAGTGGGGGGGGGGGTATTTAAGGGAAAATATTTGCATGCATCTGGGACGCTTCTGAAAATATGGTTGCAATGGCATGCGGCGGCCATTTTGTGAAAAAACCACACTTTTATACATGTCTCAAGATTAATATATTGATCGTAGATAGTTCTTTTACTAACTCTGATAGAGTCAGCTGGCTAATTTTGTAATAGAAAAAACTCAGGTAAAGGCACATATGAAATATGCTTCTCCTGCCCAATGGATAGCAAGGTCTAAAAAGGAATTTTTACATTTTTTATTATAACTATAAGATCGTTTTTAAATATTATTGTGTGTGTTTCTTTAAGTTTCGCCGTTCCAGTTAACAAACTAAACCATTTCATTCAGACATACAAAAAAACATTCACAAGGAAATTTGAAATTCTTTAATTACTGATATGAAAAACTGAACATGTTTTGCTGCTAGCTGGAGAGTCACGAACATAAGGAGGTCAGTCTAGGATAGATTTAGCCATACGTTGGTCAGTCAATGATATATTTAGCTATAAGTTGTTCAGTCATGGATAGATTTAGCCATAAGTTGATCATTCAAGGATAGATTTAGCCATACGTTTTTCAGTGAAGGATAAATTTAGCTATAAGTTGGTCAGTCAAGGAGTGGTTTAGCCATTTGGTGGACGGTCAAAAACAGATTTTGCCATAAGGTGGTGAGTCACGTAGAGATTTAGCCGCTAGCTGGTCAGTCAAGGACAGGCTTAGCCGCTAGTTGTGGTGTTAGTGCATTTAAGAATAGGTGTACAGCACTCTGGGAAGAGGAGTGTGTTGTTGTAAGACGCTTTACAGTTCTTGGGTATCTTGGGTACTGGGCAACTGGAAGGAAATAACACGAGTTAAACTATATATATATATATATATATATATATATATATATATATATATATATATATATATATATATATATATATATATAAATGAATGAATGAATGAATGAATGAATGAATGAATGAATGAATGAATGAATGAATGAATGAATGAATGAATGAATGAATGAATGAATGAATGAATGAATGAACGAATGAACGAATGAATGAATGAATGAATGAATGAATGAATGAATGAATGAATGAATGAATGAATGAATGAATGAATGAATGAATGAATGAATGAATGAATGAATGAATGAATGAATGAATGAATGAATGAATGAATGAATGAATGAATGAATGAATGAATGAATGAATGAATGAATGAATGAATGAATGAATGAATGAATGAATGAATGAATGAATGAATGAATGAATGAATGAATGAATGAATGAATGAATGAATGAATGAATGAATGAATGAATGAATGAATGAATGAATGAATGAATGAATGAATGAATGAATGAATGAATGAATGAATGAATGAATGAATGAATGAATGAATGAATGAATGAATGAATGAATGAATGAATGAATGAATGAATGAATGAATGAATGAATGAATGAATGAATGAATGAATGAATGAATGAATGAATGAATGAATGAATGAATGAATGAATGAATGAATGAATGAATGAATGAATGAATGAATGAATGAATGAATGAATGAATGAATGAAGAAATAAAGAAATAAAGAAATAAAGAAATAAAGAAATAAAGAAATAAAGAAATAAAGAAATAAAGAAATAAAGAAATAAAGAAATAAAGAATTAAGAAATAAAGAAATAAAGAAATAAAGAAATAAAGAAATAAAGAAATAAAGAAATAAAGAAATAAAGAAATAAAGAAAATAAAGAAATAAAGAAATAAAGAAATACATCAATTAAAAAAATAAAAAGTAAAAAAGAAATAAAGACTTACGTGGTACATGTGTAGCCCTTATCGCCACAGACACACTTCTCACACCACGGGTTGTACCAGACGGCCCCAGGTTTCCTGGCCTGTGGGCATTCACCTGTCAGGTACATATTTACATTTTTAAATAGAGAAACCTTGTACAATAGTCTGTGATCATATTGGTGGGCTGGTTAAACGGTAAAGCTAGAGACCACTTCAGGTTGTATCTCAGTGAGTTGTCTACTCTTCTACTTGGTCTAAGGAGTTCTTAAATAAAACATAACTTAAAGGATCAAATGTAAGAGTAATACAATTTCACAAGCTCGACTTAAATCAGCCGAGGATATTTCATGGATGAGCAGACACTAAATTTAGAACCCTCTCACCAGTTACCGTTGTAGAAACAGATACACTCTACTTCATCTGCCAAAATGATCACTATACCATCATTCGCAACCAAAATATTACAAGCAAAAATAAATATATTTCCATGCGGTTTAACCCTGATGTTGTAGTTATTAAAACCTGTTTTAACTTAAGGAAAGAATTTACAATCATGATCTACATAGAATGAAAAAAAAATTAAAAAAAGTAAATGATTAGAAAATTAAATTAAATTGATATTTATATGTTTATATTTTATATGCAATCTAAAACAATAGCGTTAGAGTTAATTAGCACTTCCGTTAGACGGCTTGGTAGACTGATAGAGAGTATTGCTGCTAGCCCGAAGGTCTGTTCGGATCTCGCTTAGGATCTTTGAGTGTAAGACGTCCCTGAGTCCATTCAGCTCTGATGAGTACTTGACTTACGTTGGGGAAAGTAAAGGTGGCTGGGCATAGTGCTGACTACACTATCCCTTCATATGCCGAGCTCAACAAACATTTGAACTCTATCAGTCCAATGGATCGCTAGGTCTACTGAAGAACTTTACTTACTTTACTATTCAGCTTGCTTAAAAGTAAACATCCATAGAGCTTTTCCTAAAACAAAATACTTTCATGTTTGCTTGTAACTTAAAATTTTAAAATTATGAAGATTACCTGGTATGAACCAATTTCCGGCCATAGACATGCAGACATAGGCCAAACAAACGAGAGTGAAGGGAAATACTTTGTTCATTTTCAGACAATGCTGTAGACCTCTTTGTTCACGAAAAAATGTTGCAGCTTCTGATAGATAGACCGTTAGTTTTTTCAAGTTTATATACAGTGAATAGCTATTTTAAGAAAAGTATAATGAGCGACTATGGCTTTATCAACAGCTTTTGATGTTTTCAATTAATGGAAATTGTGACATATGTTGGTAATAGAATTTTTACATATATGATTCAGTCAGCTCTGAACAAAGAAAACGTTAGCAATTGCTAATGTAATATTTTCGCTCTTGAAAGTTTAACATATACGGCGTGTCGTCAGAGTTTTTTTACATAACAATGTTGGAATATTTGAGTTGTCTCCTATACAATATGTTGGGAGAATCGAGTTGTCTCCTATAGAATATGTTGGGAGAATCGAGTTGTCTCCTATACAAGAATATGTTGGGAGAATCGAGTTGTCTCCTATACAATATGTTGGGAGATTCGAGTTGTCTCCTATACAATATGTTGGGAGATTCGAGTTGTCTCCTGCACAACATGTTGGGAGATTTATGCTCTCATGTACAATATGTTAGGAAATTCAAGCTCTCTACTGCACAATATATTGAGAGAGTCTCCTGTATGTAGAGCTGTTAGGGTGTCAACTTTCGCTGGTTGTAAAGTCTCAATAGAGTTGATATGGTAGTTTTTTTAGCTTTTTTCACAACTTTTCAATCGAGGGTTTTACTACTACTTTTTGCCAGGAGTGGTAACGTCTCTATGCAACAACATTAGTTACGTCTTCGTGTTGGGGCTTTGTTACGTCTCTGTGCAAGTTCTTCAATGGGCTTGCATACGTCCCTGAGTAAGGGGCTTAGTTACGTCCCTGTTAAGTATCAGCCATGCGTTTGTTCAAGGATTTTAGCAACTTGTTTGTGCAAGTGGTTTAGTTCTGTCTCTGCACGGGACCAATAACTTTTAATGTCGATAAGGATGGGCTTCAGCGTCAAGGGCACTCATGTCGTGAATAGGAGAACTGAAGTAGTGGGTCTTGTGTGACAGCTGCAATAGGCTGAGCTGAAGTAGTGAGCCTGTCTAACTTGACGAGATGATGAATAAAATGTAAATGATATCTAACATTTCTCAATGAGGCCTGTTGATGCGTTCTCGCCCACACTAACCAACAAAGGCACACAGGTGTGCGGTAGTTGCTAGCATTATAAAAAAAATTGAAAAAAGTCTCGAAACATAATGAAATCGAGACAACGGAAATACACATACATACACCTATACATATACGTGTACATAATTCATAATCGTGTATGTGTACGTATGCATATACATACACAGTTGTACGTTCATCCTTATTTTTCCTTTTTGTTCTTTACGAAACATAGTCCTCTGTCCAAGCCTACTCCCCACCGTCTCCTGTCACTCTTTTAAGCTGTTCCCAATTCCTTCCTACCCTTTCAGCCTCCTCCAGCACGTTACGTCGCCATGTCTTCCAGGGTCGACCTCTAGGTCGCCATCTCTTCCTGGGTCGACCCCTACGTCGCCAAGTATTCCTGGGTCGACCCCTACGTCGCCAAGTATTCCTGGGTCGACCCCTGGGTCGCTTGCCTTGGGGGTTCATCTCCAGGATATGTCTGGCACTACTGCTAGCGTCCCAAAAATGTGCCCAAGCCATCGACATATCCTCTCCATGATTTGCCTTTCTATTGTTCATGTCCACACATCTCCCATAGTATATAGTTTTCTACCTTATCTTGCCATATTTTAAAAAATATCCTCCTTAACAAACTATTATTAAAAGTCAGGATTTTGTTGGCAAATGCCAGACCTATTCTGCGTCTGTCCCCCCCCCCCCCCCCGACACACGTATTTGTACGTTGAGTCATACAAAATATGTCATCTACGCGACACAAAATTACCATGAAAATATACCAATGAAAAATTACCATGAAAATACAGTTGTTGACTGTTTTAGGCTCGCAAATGAAAAGTTAGTTGTATTGTATTGTCACTATCTAGCAACTGGAACTAGTTATTTTTATTTGTATTACCTCTGTCAAACGAGTTGTATTATCTCTGTCAAACGAGCTGTATTACCTCCGTCAAACGTGTTCTATTACCTCTGTCAAACGAGTTGTATTTCCTCCGTCAAACGAGTTGTATTACCTCTGTCAAACGAGTTGTATTTCCTCTGTCAAACGAGCTGTATTACCTCTGTCAAACGAGTTGTATTACCTCCGTCAAACGAGTTGTATTACCTCTGTCAAACGAGTAGTATTACCTCTGTCAAACGAGCTGTATTACCTCCTTCAAATGAGTTGTATTACCTCTGTCAAACGAGCTGTATTAAAACGAGTTGTATCACCTCTGTCAAACGAGTTGTATTACCTCTGTAAAACGAGTTGTATTACCTCTGTAAAACGAGTTGTTTTATCTCCGTCAAACTAGTAGTTGTCCACAAAATAGTCATAGGAGGAGCATTTATTGCCCCCCCCCCATCACAAAACTAAATTAATGTCGGGGGGGTGGGAGATATAATTAAAATGTAGGTTGATAAATATTCAACAGTTAAGCATAAAGTATGGCATATATTATCGATTGTTAAATGTATGTTAATTCAACCGTTATTTTCTAAGTCGTAAAAACAAAATAGAGCAAAATTTAACGCGGTTAACTAATGAGTCAGAAGTGGAACAAACATGTTGCCGGCATTAACTAGGGAATTCATGTTTCTACGTGGGGGATTTGTCACGTATCCCGAGTGAGAGAAGGACTCACATTTGTGAGTGTACGATTAACGAAGATATTATACACACTAGGGGGCAGCGTTAGTAGAGCGTTCGTCTGCTAACCCTTGCGTCTCGAGTTCGGGTCACTGACTAGAATCGTAGCATGTTCTCTGAGTCCACTCAGCTCTGATGGGTACCTGACTTACGTTGGGGAAAGTAAAGAGGTCTTAGAAAAAGGTGAACTCTACTTCACCTGTTCCGTGGACCGCCAGTGTACTTGATCTATTTACTTACTGTACACAATATTGAATGCATATTTTTTGCATCAGTAGACCATAGATGCGACAAAATAAGTGAATTCCTCTCCATTGAGCATAGTTAGGAATTTGATGAATCGAGCACGCGTGATGGGACGGAGTGGTCTAGCGGTAGAAAGCTGGACTGTAAACCCGTACGTCTCGAGTTCGAATCCAGGTTCAAGTCAGTAGACCGTCCCTGAGTCCACCCAACTCTGATGGGTACCTAACTTACGTTAGGGAAAGTAAAGGCGGCTGGGCATAGTGCTGACCACACTATCTCTTCATATGCCGAGGTTACAGAAACAAGTGAACTCTACTTCATTTGCCCTATAGACCGTCAGGTTTGAAAGGAAAACAAGGACAAGGATCACGTGTACTAGTACGTGTACATGTACAGTGTACGTTGTACTTGTGTAAATCAATTGCAAATACCGTGTATTGTTTTAGCACTGAAGGCGTCTGCTACAATTCTTATAAACTTTTTTTAAAAAGTAGCAATTATTTGATATCATTCAGTCACTAAACAGTTAATGTTTAATCGCTCGCCATTTCTTATTATTCCATAGTTAAGTTTTAGAATTATAGCAACATTATTACGCAATTAGTAACGTTTTATACTCAAATTGACAGAGGTATTATGTATTATAATTACCAGGTGAAACCTTCCAAATTTTCTAATTTATTTTAAGGACCTCACAAGTTTCCATAAAGGTGATACTTTGAAGAAAAAAAAAATTAATACATTTTTATTATAAATTCATTGTTGTTTAAAATATTGTTTTGTAGATTACGATGGTGGACTTTCTTAATGTGTAGTTAACTGCTTAATATTTCACCATATAGCATCATCTAAAATATATGTACAAAGTTTCCAAGCCACGATTTAATTTTTCTTTGTAGTCTGTGAGCCATTAGAAATGTCCGATGAACGAAACAATTTCATATCCCGTATAATATAATGACAACTTGTTTTGCAACGAAAAGTGGGAAAGATGCCATTTTCGGCTTGATGTTCAATAAGGCAGATGAAGTAGAATTTACCTGTTTCTGTAACCACAAGATTTATTGCGTGGTAAGCTATGCGTCAAGCCGCCTTTACTTTCCCGAACGCTAGTCAGGTAGAGATAGAGAACAATAACTGAATAGAATTTCAATATCTTTATTATCGATATTTGCCGAATGAGCAACATCTAAACCAGTTTCATCCGTTCAGTCGACAGTGAAGAGCAGGTCTACCCGCTGGTTGGACACACAACGACAGGCTGACAACAGTCTGGGTAGGTGAGTGTGTCGTTGTAGGTCGCTGTACATTGCATGGGGTATCTGAATACCGTGCAGCTGAAAGGTATATATATATATATATATATATATATATATATATATATATATATATATATATATATATATATATATAAATTGAAAAAATTGAATGAAAATGAGCATAGGTGTGCATGTAAAGATCAAAATTGAACATATAAATTAAATGAACTGAAGATTTATGAACGTTGAAGTACGCTAAAATCGATGGGTGACATCAATAGAAATCAAACTTTGTTAAAGAACAGGCTAAGACGTACGTGTAGCAGGTGTAGCCGTCACTGCCACATTCACATTTCTCGCAGCCCGGGAGTTTCCAGACTTCCCCGACATACCTGCCAGGTGGGCACAGACCTGTCAGGTAGAAAGTCATAGGTACAAAGTAATATGGTACAAAGTAATATGGTACAAAGTAATATGGTACAAAATAATATGGTACAAAATAATATGGTACAAAGTAATATGGTGCAAAGTAATATGGTACAAAGTAATATGGTACAAAGTAATATGGTACAAAGTAATATGGTACAAAGTAATATGGTACAAAGTAATTTGGTACAAAGTAATCAGGTACAAAGTAATCTGGTACAAAGTAATCTGGTACAAAGTAATTAGGTAAAAGTCATCAGGTTCAAAGTCATCAGGTACAAAGTCATAAGGTACAAAGTAATCTGGTACAACGTAATCAGGTATAAAGTAATCAAATACAAAGTAATCAGGTACAAAGTAATAAGGTACAAAGTAATCAGGTACTAACTAATCAGATAGAAAGTAATCTGGTACAAAGTAATCTGGTACAAAGTAATCAGGTATAAAGTAATCATGACATACCAAAATTGAAGAACAGTAAAACAAACTTTAATTCATTATCATCCTTTTTCGTTCTGGCCCAAGAAACATCGGGCAGATGACCGCTGCATACAATAGAATAAAGTGGTCTTTATGTAAAAATCTATCTGTAAAGGACCGTGACTTGTGTGTTTGTTCAGCAGTATAAACTCGGCATTGCCCGGGCTTAGAAGTATATTACTTTTCCAATTAAATGTCTATATGCGAATATACAAGCTTGAGAAAATAATACAGAACCCTAAACCTAACACTAACCCTAAGCTAAGCCCTAACCAAAACCAACCACAACCAAAATATAAAAGCTAACGCAAACGCAAACAAAAATGCAAACACAAACATAAACACAAACCCATTCCCCACTACTACTTCTATCACTATCACTAGTATCACTAACACTACATTACAACTACCACCACGTTTCTACTACAATTACTACTGTTACATTATGTCTTGTTACTGATTGTTACATCCCTTATATTATGTATATCATGGTTACCTCCCTTGAGAGTTCACTGTGTCTTCCGTCATGTGTAGTTGATGTGTACATGTAGTCAGTTAACGAAAGGTAGAGTCAGAGACAGGACGTGTCGTCTGAGCTGTCTGTACATAAGAATACAGAACTAAGGTTAACTCAAAGAACTGTGTCTGTTTAAGTACTGTAACAACTACAGCTACTTTTAATAGTAGCACTTCAACTACTTCAACTACTACTATAATTTCTACTACAAATACAATTACCACTAATTCCACAATAACTGCAGTAGTAATACTAATATATCTTTTGTGTTTTTCCTTTTTAATTGTGTTACAATTTTAAAAGTATTATTGTTTTCACATTTTCCTACATGTGTTGCACACCAAATATTTAAAGCGTGACTCACAATTTTCAGCACTACACGGAGATGGGGCGTGATTGATCTGTAAACTTTTACGTAGGAAAGCAGGAAGTATTCTTAAAAATTAAAATATTAGTCTAGTATTTAATTTTCTCGGATTCTTACACATAAATATAATGCATAAATAGCATTTACATGTTATATTTTTAAGAGTTGATTTAAGAATAGAATAAAACAACACACTTGGTTCGACTGTCTAGTTTAAATCTAATCATTTCGCCATGCTCACAAAGTTTGTGTTTCCCGTAGTCCTCTGCCTAGTCTTGACCACGACTTATTACTTTGGTGAGTACAGTCAAACATTTTTGTTACCGGTCGTTCCCCGATTTTACTTATACAATTTTAGACTTTACAATCTTGACTTCTCTTTTAGTATCTTTGACTTTAAAAAAAGAAACAGAACTGTGGTTTAATTATAAATTAAATCTATATTTATAAAAAAAATCCTGCAAATTTTAGGATTGATATTTTATTAGAGGAAAGTAAGTCAAATACCCTTTCGTGCTGTACGGTCTATGTTGTAGGTGAAGTAGAGACCACCCGCTTCAGTACCCTCGGCATATCAATAGATTTCTGATCTCAAACAAAATCAATCAATCAACCCACCTGTGTTATTATTTCCCCAATCTATAACCCAGTTGTCAGTCTGCCTTTGTGTCCCGTGAGTCCTCATTCATCCGAGCTCATCTACCCTTGACATCCACCCAGTGCTTTTGGTGGGGAATATGGTGATGCCGTCAATTTTATTTTTGGGGGAGGGGGCACATTTTATAATAGAAGTTTTGTTGAATTAGTCTCCTTATAGCACGCCAAAAGTGTAGTAATTTGTTATCTCAACGAAACAGCATAGTTACTCTCCCTGTCAGAAAAATTTGGTCAGGTCACTCAACAAAACTGATACTAAAACTAAGTTGATGTTTTAATCAATGATCGTTACTGCTATTCTCGCCATCAATATTGTTGTTCACATTGATTTTTTTTCCCTTAGCATTTCCTTTCATCTTGTTCTGCAGATGTCTGTCAAGCCGTGATGATCACAATGGACGAGATACTAACACTGATGGGGTACCCCTCTATGATATACTGCTATCTGAAGTAAGTGATGTTAATAGGGCTGGTAAGTAGGTCACCAACCAATTCTACGGCTCAATAAAACCTGATAGAACTGGTTGGTGCCTTTCTTACCAGCCCTATTGTAACTAAGAGTTCCTTTTGGTAAAGCAGCTTAAAGGAACAAAGTAACAGAATCAACGACAGTACCTTAGCTAATGGAGCAAACATTCTCGCATATTCTTATATAACAATAATGGGGACGGCACTTCCAGTCCGACCGGGCTTTAGAAATGTTTTTTTTAATTAATTACTTACTCGTATATGGAGTATAGAGGAAGTATTGGGATCGAACAAAAAAAATTGAAATAGAGATGTCCATATATCTCGACGTTCATCCCCCCCCCCCCAGACACACAATTGTGTAGGAAAATACAAAGACAAAATTACAAAATTAAGTTAATCGACTTCGATATATTTTTTTGCGAGAAAATAAAAACTTGATCAGGGTTTAATTTTTTTCGCCATTTCTAACCGCGCCACTGTCAAGTAGCAGACTAACCGAGGTAATTTTATCTTTGATATCCTTAGGTCTACAACAACTGAGCTTGCTACTCTAAAAACACAAACCGTCAGTTTTGTCGGTCTTGGTTATGTGAGTATTTTATCTTCATTTCATTTTGGTTATGTAAATATTTTATCTTCATTTCATGTTGGTTATGTAAATATTTTATCTTCATTTCATGTTGGTTATGTAAATATTGTATCTTCATTTCATGTTGGTTATGTAAATATTTTATCTTTATTTCATGTTGGTTATGTAAATATTTTATTTTCATTTCATGTTGGTTATGTAAATATTTTATCTTCATTTCATGTTGGTTATGTAAATATTGTATCTTCATTTCGTGTTGGTTATGTAAATATTTTGTCAGAGCTGTTGGTTATTGGTGTATTTATTCTGCATTTGTTGTTTGGTTTAGTTGTTGTCAATTTAATTAAATGAACGTAATTTATAACCTATTTAATGTTGATAATATTTTATTTGTTATGTGATTTTTAAAACATATTTTTTAAAGCTCCAATTCATCTTTAAAAAAATGAACTGAATGCATATTTCAAAAGCACAATATCTAGAAAAAGTGTTAGTAAAAAATTATTTCAAAATACAAACTTAGAAAATATATTTAAGAGAAATATGATTTTGAAATTGTTAAAAACAACATGAGACAAAAATCTGATTCCAAAATACGTTCTTAGAAAAATACTAAAGAGAAATGTGATAAACATTTGGTCAAACAAATTTGAAACACAAATCTTTTTCCTAAATACGTTCTTAACAAAATACTAAAGAGAAATCTGATAAAAATATGGTCAAACAAATTTGAAACAAAATTCTGATATCACCAGACCTGTGAGGTGACCAACTGGGAGTTCTGTGACGCGACCCTGCCGATCAGGTATGTGAACGGTTCCTGCGGATGTAACCAGAAACTCTACAACGCCAGCGGTGTGCCCACAGTCAAGCACCGGTTTTATTTTTACATCGAGGCGGTGAATGAGGAGATGGACGTAAGCTTACACTTACATGTGCTGGGTTGGTTTAAAGCTTACACTTACATGTGCTGGGTTTGTTTAAAGCTTACACTTACATGTGCTGGGTTTGTCTAGGTAAAGCTTACACTTACATCTGCTGGGTTTGTTTAAAGCTTACACTTACATGTGCTGGTTTTGCTTGAAGCTTACACTTCCATGTGCTGGGTTTCTTTAAAGCTTACACTTCCATGTGCTGGGTTTGTTTAAAGCTTACACTTACATGTGCTGGGTTTGTCTAGGTAAAGCTTACACTTACATCTGCTGGGTTTGTTTAAAGCTTACACTTACATGTGCTGGGTTTGTTTAAAGCTTACACTTACATGTGCTGTGTTTGTTTAGGTTAAGCGTACACTTCCATGTGCTGGGTTTATTTAGGTAAAGCTTACAGTTACATTGGCTGAATTTGTTTAGGCTAAGCTTACATTTACATGTGCTGGGTTTTTAGGTAAAGGTTTACAGTTACATGGGCTGAATTTGTTTAGGCTAAGCTTACACCTAAATATGCTGGGTCATACTAAGTAAGCGTTCACTTAAATGTGCTGCGTTTGTTTATGTAAAGTTAAGATTACATATCCTGGGCCACTTACAAATACAGGGGTAAGGATATTTAAGTTTACACTTACATGTTTTGGGTTAGGTTATGTAACCTTACAATTACATGTGCTGGATCAGATATAGCTTACACCTGCAGGCCTTAGCACACACTTATATGTGCGGAATCATGTTATGGAAGCTTACATTAACATGTGTTGCGTCAGGTTTAATTGTCTTTAAAATATAATATTAATAAAATATTCATCCATACTTGTTAAACCGTGACTGTGTTATAAAAAAATTTCTTTAAAGCTAAATGTGTCCAGTAACAACATTACCTGTTTTGTTTTCCGTAGGGGGAAATCGTCAAATGTACGGTGGGGACACAGATAAGGGAGACAAAGGAGGTTCACGCCATCAGTAGGTTTAGTTTAAACCTCTCACACGACATCAGTAGGTCTAGTTTAAGTTAAACCTCTCACACGACATCAGTAGGTCTAGTTTAAACCTCTTACATACCATCAGTAGGTCTAGTTTAAACCTCTTACATACCATCAGTAGGTCTAGTTTAAACCTCTTACATACCATCAGTAGGTCTAGTTTAAACCTCTCACACGACATCAGTAGGTCTAGTTTAAACCTCTCACATACAATCAGTAGGTCTAGTTTAAACCTCTTACATACCATCAGTAGGTCTCGTTTGAGCTCAAACTATCTCATTGAAGGAATTTAAAACACTTTAGTAGGGGACAGAACCTTACTAACACTCTAGTAGAGCTCTTATATTTACCGAGTTACGGTTACTGATCGACGTCTTATTATTTATCTTGTGCTTGAGGTTTGTGTTGTGTGTATGTGTATTGGTATAGGAGTATTTAGTGGGAGCCGGACGTTTTCCCGAAAGACACTTGCCCGAATGCCGTTTGCCCCAAGGGCGATTTCCCGAATGGACACTTGCCCGAATGCGACAAATGCCCGAATGGACACTTGCCCGAATGCGACAAACGCCCGAATGGACACTTGCCCGAATGCGACAAATGCCCGAATGGACACTTGCCCGAATGCGACAAATGCCCGAATGGACACTTGCCCGAATGGGACAAATGCCCGAATGGACACTTGCCCGAATGCGACAAATGCCCGAATGCCACTTGCCCGAAGGCCGTTTGCCCGAAAAATGTTAATATTAGATAATAAATAATATTTCCAAATAGACATTCTTTAATTAATTTAAGTTTAAAATTTTGATTATAAACGCATATCTAAGCATAAAACAAAGTTGTTTATATTTTTAATTTAGCTTTTATTACTTTCTCGTATATACGAAGTATAGAGAAAGTCTTGTAATCGTGCAAAAAAAAAAAAATCGAGATTTTTGCAAATCTCGACGTTTTACATCTCACTGATACGGAAAAACATAATTTTGCAATCTTGTCCGTATGTCTGTGTGTCCGTGTGTGTGTGTGTGTCTGTGTGTGTGTGTGTCCGTGTGTAAACACGATAACTTGAGTACCGTTACAGCTAGGTTGATGAAATTTCATATACAAGTATTATATCAAAATCGTAGATCCGTATCAACTTTTGAGCGATTTCGGATAACCGGAAGTGGTACTTTTTCTACTTTGAATTTTTCAAAAGCCTATAACTTGAGTACTATTTCAGATAGATAAATGAAATTTCACATGTAAGTAAAAGATCTAATTCTCTACCTTCTGTTAAATTTTGAGTAATTTCCGTTGACCGGAAGTAGTACTTTACGCTACTTCCGATTTCTCAAAAAACTAATGTAAATTTATAAAGTACTAATACTATTGCGCACTATTATACACACCTTTATTAGGCGTTCGCTTGGTGCGCAATTGTTTTTTACTGAGATTCTATTCTATTTTTAAAAGTTTCAGTATTTAAAATGGATTAAAGATCATAACTATATCCCCAGTTACCATCCCCTGTTGTTTTATATAAGAATATTCGAGAAAGTTTAGGGGAGATCACTACCGGTTTATTTTTTTTTCAAAATTGCGTAAGTGCAGTAAGAAAATTTTTATTCTTTAATTAATGTGAGGTGATGTTGGCGGCGGTGTTCTAACATTCTTTTGATGAATGTTTTGAACACCTTGTTTAGCCGACGTGTTGCGGTGGTTATATAGCTTTTATGACACGGTGTAGGCGGCGCGGCGTCTCGCAACATTGAACAGAGGCGCGTTTGTTTGTTTATCTTGTTATGCTTAACTTGTGTGGTGATCATTTAACAAAAGAATGAGGCGAGGTCTGGGTGGCCAATTTAAAAACTAAACCTAGTCAAATATGTTTGATCTCCATTTAATGCACCTTGTTAAGACAATGTTTTGAAGCGATTACTTAATAAAGAAAGCAAAACTCATTTTACGATCCGGAGATGAATGAAAATTGTATTTTTGTCTAATTTCATATTTGGAAGAGAAAATATGTTTCTACACTTTTTAAATATCAAATACATATTAATTTACAATGTCTTCGTGGTAATATATAATATTATTTTTTCACTTTCTTTTTGCGTAGATGTGTTTTGTTTACCAACATTTTAAATTTAAATTGATTACGAATGATTATTTAGTAATATATAATGTTAACATTTTTCGGGCAAACGGCCTTCGGGCAAGTGGCATTCGGGCATTTGTCGCATTCGGGCAAGTGTCCATTCGGGCATTTGTCCCATTCGGGCAAGTGTCCATTCGGGCATTTGTCGCATTCGGGCAAGTGTCCATTCGGGCATTTGTCGCATTCGGGCAAGTGTCCATTCGGGCATTTGTCGCATTCGGGCAAGTGTCCATTCGGGCATTTGTCGCATTCGGGCAAGTGTCCATTCGGGAAATCGGCCTTCGGGCAAACGGCATTCGGGCAAGTGTCTTTCGGGAATTTGTCGTAGACCCGTATTTAGTTTGCCGACACTCATCAAAACTATTTCTAAAAACAAATTTACGTTGATGTAAAATTTGAATTTATTTGATATCGTTAACATCCACTTTGAAAAACAAAGGTAAATTGATATGTAAAAATTGAATGCAATTTTTTTTAAAAAAAAGCTAAACTGAAATGTAAACATTGATTTTATCTTTGCAACCCTTATTGCCATATTTAAAAAAAAAGCTAAGGTGAAATGTAAAAAATGAATTTATTTTTGCTAGCCTTTTCTGCCATTTTGAAAAAAAAAACTAAACTGAAATGTTAAAATTGAATTTGTTTTTGCTAGCCTTTACTGCCACTCCAGAGAAAAACCTCCACATCTGTAGAGGGAGGTCAGTCACCCTCAACTGGGAGTACGAGGTGACGAAAATAGAAATACAGGTAGGACATTATTTAACCATCCTTAAAAAAACGAATAATCAATATAACACCAGAGTCAATATAAATTTTTGCATGAAAAAAGATTTGACGAAAATAGAAATACATGTAGTATATTGTTTAAACACCCTTAACAACGAATGCATCAATACAACAACATAGTCAATATAAAATTTTACGTGAAAAAAGATTTGTTGTTGTTGCCAAAAATTAACGTGTATTTTTATACACACTGAACAAGGTGACAAATTATATACAGAACGAAGGTGGAAGTAAGGGAAGTAAAAAAGAATAAAACAGTCAAAAGACAATGTAGATGAGAAAAAAATGGATAATATGATTAATATAAGATTGATGTAATAGGGTACATGTCCTTTTTACTGATAATTAGATTTCCAACAAAATAACCTCCAATTTTTTATTTTCTGTTTTACAATTTAGTGTTCATTTTTGTTGTGTATTGTTGAATAATGTATGGTTGTTGTCTGTAGGGTCATTGAACAGTGTGTGAATGTCTATAGCAAGAGTACCCGCTGTGTGTGAATGTCTATAGCAAGAGTACCCGCTGTGTGTGAATGTCTATAGCAAGAGTAGCCGCTGTGTGAATGTCTATAGCAAGAGTACCCGCTGTGTGTGAATGTCTATAGCAAGAGTACCCGGTGTGTGAATGTCTATAGCAAGAGTACCCGCTGTGTGAAAATGTCTATAGCAAGAGTACCCGGTGTGTGAATGTCTATAGCAAGAGTAGCCGCTGTGTGAATGTCTATAGCAAGAGTACCCGCTGTGTCTATAGCAAGAGTACCCGCTTTGTGTGATGAGGTGGAGGAAGACCAAGGTACTCACCCAGAGCGAGACGGAGCTGGCGTACTACAGCTTTCCCAAACCTGACCAGGTGAGGTCACATTCGATTCTATTGACAGTTATACAGGTGAGTAGGTGACCTTAAACCTGACCAGGTGACCTTGAACCTGACCAGGTGACCTTGAACCTGACCAGGGGACCTTGAACCTGACCAGGTGACCTCGTATACTATGGGAACAGTTATACAGGTGACAATGTGAACTTGAACCTGACCAGGGGACCTTGAACCTGACCAGGTGACCTCGTATACTATGGGAACAGTTATACAGGTGACAATGTGAACTTGAACCTGACCATGTGTCCACGCATTCTATGCTGTCTTTTTAAATTCTGATCAATTGACATCACGTTATTTACTGAATGTTTTTCGTATTAGTGACCTCACACTGCATGTTATAGGAAGTATAGAAATATTTACACGTACATACATACACACATATATATATATATATATATATATATATATGTATATATATATATATATATATATATATATCATGTTTCTTGATCTTATAACGACAGCCCGCCCCCTCCATGAATGTCAAGACCCTGTATAATCTGAACCTGACCAAAGAGGAAGGCTGGACCCTCCCCAAACTGTCCATGTGGAATCTACGAGAGCAGGACTCCATGTATATCCGCGTGCTCCTGTACTTCCTGGACTCGCCTGATACGCCCGGGAGTACTGAGTGCAGGGGGACCCCAGAGGATCAGTGAGTAACATATCTAGTTGAGGAGGGGGTGGGGGGGAGGGTTAACGGAGAAGATCAGAAGTCACACATTTGACGTGGTTGTTAGATAAGAAAGTTGAGAGGGGGGGGGGGCGGACAGCATAGTATTTACGGAGAAGATAAGTAAGTTACACATTTGCAGTGATTGTGAGAAAGGAGGTTGAAGTGGTGGGGGGTAGGGGGTTGTAGCTTCGGATAGTTTATTGTTTTATTTCTATATTTTATGTTTATTTATTTTAAACCCTCACAAACGAATATTTATTTCAGATCCGGCGAGCCAAGTGTAAGTTTCAATATAAAATTGTTCCATACGGTTTTTTTTTTCAAATTTTTAGTAACAACTACAATTTTAACGAAGAAGCATTTTTTAAAAAAAATTATAGGCAATCAAGTATTTTATAGTTATTTGTTAAGTTAAATAACGATAAGTTGTATATTATGAAATACATAAAAAAGGTACTACTGAATTACTGATCTAAACAAAAACACATTATAATCTATCTGAAACCCTTGTCAAAGAATAAAAATAAATGTAACGTTTCAGCTACGGTCAAATGCAGCGTATGGAAAGCGTCTTCCTGTTATACCAGGTAAATAAATGTTACATATTTATTTTAAATTCACTTATGTTAATCAAGGCGGAAGTAACCGTTTTAAAGATGTAAACATTTCAAACTGATCAGTCTAAAAAAAGCAAATAGGTAGAGGCCATTTAAGGAGGTGCATCCTTAATATAAACCGCTAGGTAGTGTGCCAGTCATTCTGTCGGGAAAATCTGCGCGAACGTCATAGAGAGTAATGAGACAGTTTCGTTAACTAGCAGTGAGATCTGGTCATGAAGTCTAGAATAAATGTTGGTCTAAGGTGTAGACGATAAAAGTCTGAGATCGAACTAGCAAAGTACATTATGGTGTTTATAAACACATTACACCATCCTATCTCGAGTTTTAATCATTTAAAGGAAAATAATTTTAACCAATGTAACAAAATAAAATGATTAAACTTGATACATTTTTACAATAAAGTAATCCCTGATTCGTGGAGAGGAGAGAGCAAGAGTAAAGGTTTGGTGAGTCTATAATGAACATTTAAACTTCAGATCTTATGTTGTGTTGACCTATTGATTTCCCAATGACATTAGCCATTAATTGGTGTCTACTCAGGGTTCTAGACTCACTATACCTTTACTTAAATACAAACATCGAAATTTTTTCTGGCAACGTGACTACATCATCAGCCTCAGTTGGGATTCACAATGTTTAAAAGCACACTATCATATAGCACATTTTAGAGCAGTTTATTATAGCAGTGTATGTTCTTATACCACATTTTTTAGCAGTTTATTATAGCAGCGTATGTTCTTGTAGCACATTTTATAGCAGTTTATTATAGCAGCGTATATTCTTGTAGCACATTTTATAGCAGTTTATTATAGCAGCGTATATTCTTGTAGCACATTTTATAGCAGTTTATTATAGCAGTGTATGTTCTTATACCACATGTTTATACCAGCATATGTTCTTGCAGCACATTTTTATACCAGCGTATTTTCTTGTAGGCCATTTTTATGGCAGCGTATGTTCTTGTAGGCCATTTTTATAGCTGCGTATGTTCTTGTAGCACATTTTTATAACAGCGTATGTTCTTGTAGCACATTTTTATAACAGCGTATGTTCTTGTAGCACATTTTTATAACAGCGTATGTTCTTGTAGCACATTTTTATAACAGCGTATGTTCTTGTAGTACATTTTTATAACAGCGTATGTTCTTGTAGCACATTTTTATAACAGCATATGTTCTTGTAGCACATTTTTATAACAGCGTATGTTCTTGTAGCACATTTTTATAACAGCGTATGTTCTTGTAGCACATTTTTATAACAGCGTATGTTCTTGTAGCACATTTTTATAACAGCGTATGTTCTTGTAGCACACTATCTTGTCTACCGAAAAGCCACGGAGAAGGAACCCACGACGATCCATCCAACGACAAAGCCAGTGACACAGACGAACAGCACAGCAACGACGACAAGAACAACGACGGCGACGACGACGAAGAAAACAACAACAATAACCACAACACCCACAACACCAACACCAACAACAGCTACTACTACTACTACACCAAAGCCTGTGTATTTTGTCCCGACCTACGTACCAAGGATAATACAGAGTTCAACTCATTTGATTGTCACAGGTAAGTGTCGGTCCACTCAACTTTATACAGAGTTCAACTCATTTGATTGACACAGGTAAGTGTTGGTCCCATCAACTTTATACAGAGCTCAACTCATTTGATTGACACAGGTAAGTGTTGGTCCCATCAACTTTATACAGAGTTCAACTCATTTGATTGACACAGGTAAGTGTTGGTCCCATCAACTTTATACAGAGTTCAATTCATTTGATTGTCACAGGTAAGTGTCGGTCTAATTAACTTTATCCATAGTACAACGCACTGTCACAGGTTTGTGTATTTTTTAAACGAACGTCGAGTGAATCAACTCTATCCAGAGCTAAACGCACCAAACTGCCGCAGGAAAATAATTTTCTAGTTAAATATACCGAATGGATGATTTAACAGGTAAGATTTTGGTTTGATCTGCCAAAATCCTAGCTTCAAGATATACACAATACCTACTAGGCGTAATTCTTATTATGAGATTAACGGACACAAAAAAAATTGCGGCTAAACTAAACCTTATCGTCTACAGGCAGGTAGGCTACAAATTAGAAATCGGTTAGCACTCAACTCAGTATCCTTCATTAAGTTAATAACCATATTAAATGACTGTTAAACTTTTTATTTTTAACATTGATAGAAATAAAACAGAAAAAAAGATTGAAAAATTTCAGTAAAAAAAAATAATTACATATCACACTTTACGTTTGACTCAAAATTATAGCGCCACCTACAGAAGGGGGCTCATTCAAACTGTACGGTCTTCAGACCATCACCGGAAGTGTGATCATTACCTGCGAGTTGATGCACATGCACTTTCTGGGTATTCCGCCTGTCAACACAACAATCTGGGTGAGTACTGAACGTATTGCCATCGTGTGCAAAGTTTTGTTAGAACACAACAATCTGGGTGAGTACTGAGCGTATTGCCATCGTGTGCAAAGTTTTGTTAGAACACAACAATATGGGTGAGTACTGAGCGTATTGCCATCGTGTGCAAAGTTTTGTTAGAACACAACAATATGGGTGAGTACTGAGCGTATTGCCATCGTGTGCAAAGTTTTTTTAGCCCTACTCGGTCGTAATACTATGACAGGCTTGTCTTTTATTCTTTTAAAAATGTGGAATGAAAAACATAAATTGCTGCTGTCAAGTATGTGTTCGCAAGCATTGTTGTTTATCGGTGAAAAAAAGCTTGTTAATTGCATCAGGAAGAGGTAGATAAACAAACAGTGACAGTGCGCAAGGAAGTATTATCTGATACCATTGTGTATAGCCTGGTGATCGGAAAGATGCGCATTGAAAAAATGCGTACAAAAATTGCGCAAGGGCATTTGGGTTTCTTAAATCGAGCATTTATAGACATTAGCAAAGAATCGCCATTGGACATCGTAGCGTAATAAAACACTTTACCACGAAATACAGACACATTAACGTATTTTAGTATAATTAATTTGTATTCGCGCATTTTTCTGTTCGCGCAGTTTTCCGTTCGCGCAGTTTTCCGTTTGCGTAGTTTTCTTGCAACTAACTGTTAGCACCTACGGCCGTTTGTTTACACACAGTTTTCATTTTACTCCCGAGTGAGTTGAATTCCGTTTACTGAGCGCTAAAGTGGTGGCACCGCCTGTAATTTTTGACCAACGGCATGACTGTAAATTTCCATGAAAACCAACATGTGTTCTATCACTAGACAAAGATCATGGCAGATAAAGAAACTTAGAGTATATTCTGTGGGTTGGTTTAATATTGAGCAATACTGCGAAAAACATCTTTATTCATAGTGCGACGTCCTCTACACTTTATCTCAAGATACAATATAAAAAAACATAAGTGGCCGCCTAAGACTTAATATAAGAAAAAAATATTTAGATACATCAGTTGGTAAATACTCACTCTAGGTGACATACAGAGATCTGCCAGTAGAGCCTGTAAAGTTCAAGGTTACTAGACCCAAAAGTCCCGAAATCGAAAGCTCGACATTTGGGTACAGCAACCAATATAGGAGAAAAAACACATCAATTAAACAACTGCTGCCTTGAAGTTTATTTTTCGTTGGAAAAGGGGTCCGGTATCAAATCCAGACGCGGCCTAATAGAGCATAACACATTGACCCGTCGTACTTAATTGTGGGGAAGGAAATTCCGACAAACATTACAATTATTAAGAACGAAGATGAAAACAAAAAAGAGGCTATAGACCTAGATACATCAGATCTAAGACTCATTCTAAAGGCCATCACACATCTAGATACATCAGTGACACAAAGACTCTTTATAGAGGCCACCATAGACCTAGATACATCAGGGACCCAAAGACTTAATCTAGAGGCGACCATAGACATATATATATATATATATATATATATATATATATATATATATATATATATATATATATATATATATATATATATAATTGACCGCAGTCTGACTCCTATTATGCCGTGTTTCAGCACAACGATCACGTGCTCACCACCCGATCCAACAGCCGCAAGGTATCGTTCAGTCTCCCGTATCAAAGTGAAAGTAATTTTTCTTGCGGGTAAGGTTCACTGCAAACATATGTTTTTTTTACTTTTCATGGTTATATTTATACTTTTTATGTCAACTTTACCTCTCGCTTCAACTTAAACCATAACGGAAGTCAGAACATAACCGATCCCTAACTTCAACCATAATAACATACTAAGTATTAAAATATAGTACCAACACCCTAAAGCCTATTTGTGGAGGCCAAAGGTGAGGAAAATATTTGAAAGGTCTTTAAGGTAGCGATCATGGAGGTATGACGTGGTATACTTGTAAGGGTTAAGAGATAATCCGACTGATTCACGCTTATGTTGTGGGAGCTAATCCTGTGTATCCTAAGCAAGTTCCAGTGAGGTGATCAAAAGGTATCCATAGTAACGATCAGAGTTTCTTCCAGGCATCTCTTCGTGGGGAAGAGGAGGGGAGGGAAAGCCCCCCCCCCCCCCGAAATTTTTTACCCCCCCCCCCCCTGAACGAAATGAAATGTATATAATTTATATAGAAAATATATACTTTTAACAGTGTCCGCCCCCCCCCCCCCCGAAGAAAGTCTACCGCCCCCCCCTCCCGAAAATTTCAAGTGCCCCCGGAGAAAAAAGTCTGGAAGAAACACTGGTAACGATAGAGCTAATCCTGAGTATCCATAGTAAGGATAAGGGAACTAATCCTGAGTATCCATAGTTAGGATAAGGGCGGTAACTTACAGTTAAATATTTATTCACAGGATTGAAGGGAAAGCTACGGAGTGTATCCCACCGGGTGATAGACGATTGGTGCACGTTTCTATCACATCCAATGGTAGGTTGGTCACGTGATTTTGTGTCAACCAATGGTGGCTTGGCAACATGATACACCTACTAGCAGATGTTAACGGAATTTTGTGTTATATACTAAGTAGTTTATCATTGAACTTAAAGGAAACTCCAGGCTTCTATGTTGTCCAATTAGAGGTCCAATCTCCAATCTCCAATATCTAATTTCTTATCTCTTTCTACTGCTACGTCTACGTCTACATCCATATCTATATCTATTTATCTGTGTTATATATATATATATATATATATATATATATATATATATATATATATATATATATATATATATATATATCGCCGCAGATATTGTCGTTATGCTGGTGACAAAAGAAGGAGTCGACCTGTTCATCATACTGTACGGTCTCGAGTTGACCTTCTGCTTGATCCTGATGACGTGGGCGGTCAAGCTGATGATCGAGCACATGAAGATTCTGAGCTCTATCAAGCGGGCCAAGGCCGAGAGGATCCAGGAGAAGCTGAAGACGGCCAACTTCACCCTGGACGACGTCGTCACCGCCTCCAACGTTTCCGTGGCCGTGCTGTCGCAGTCGGATACGGCCTCTGCTGTCTCGACTGTCTCGGGTGAATCGTCTGTCACGGAGTAGCTGTCCTGTTTAAAGTTGCTTCCCTTATCACGGAGTAGCTGTCCTTTTTATAGCTGCTTCCCTTATCACGGAGTAGCTGTCCTGTTTAAAGTTGCTTCCCTTATCACGGAGTAGCTGTCCTTTTTACTTTCTCGTATATACGTAGTATAAAGTATTGTAATCGTGCAAAAAAAAATCGAGATTTTTACAAATCTCGACGTTTTACACCTCACTGATACGGAAAAACATAATTTTGCAATCTTGTCCGTATGTCTGTGTGTGTGTGTGTCTGTGTGTCTGTGTGTCTGTGTGTCTGTCTGTGTGTAAACACGATTACTTGAGTACCGTTACAGCTAGGTTGATGAAATTTCATATATAAGTATTATATCAAAATCGTAGATCCGTATCAACTTTTGAGCGATTTCCGATAACCGGAAGTGGTACTTTTTCTACTTTGAATTTTTCAAAAGCCTATAACTTGAGTACTAATTGAGATAGATAAATGAAATTTCACATGTAAGTAAAAGATCTAATTCTCTACCTTCTATCAAATTTTGAGTAGTTTCCGTTGACCGGAAGTACTAATTTACGCTATTTCCGATTTCTCAAAAAACGCATGTAAATTTATAAAGTACTAATAATATTGCGCACTATTACGCACATTTGGTTTTGGTGCTCGCTTGGTGCGCAATTTTTTTTTCTACTAGATTTTATTCTATTTTTAAAAGTTTAAGTAAACAAAAATCATGTCTATATTCCGAGTTGACATCCCACGTAGTGTTATATTAGAATATTCGAGAAAGTTTAGGGGAGCTCACTCCCGGTTTATTATAGCTGCTTCCCTTATCACGGAGTAGCTGTCCTGTTTAAAGTTGCTTCCCTTATCACGGAGTAGCTGTCCTTTTTATAGCTGCTTCCCTTATCACGGAGTAGCTGTCCTGTTTAAAGTTGCTTCCCTTATCACGGAGTAGCTGTCTTGTTCATAGCTGCTTCCCTTATCACGGAGTAGCTGTCTTGCTCATAGCTGTCTCCCGACGATTGATTATTTTTACCATATTTTTTCAAACTACATGGCGTGATATTGATGTGGTACGATGTTAAAGATGTAGAAGCGTAAAGATCATGAGAGATTCTAATAGAATGAAGTTAAATATGAACGCTGGTCTAATCTGTAAAAACTCTATTCATAATTTTTTCACTTTTGTGCCCTAGAGACACGAGGCCGCCATAGAAATCTCTTTCCAATTTTAACCCAACCTTCAAATAACACATCAAAATAATCCTAAACAATTGAACCAAATAAGAACAACAACGTAGTTTCTTTAAAAAAATGTCAAATAATATATTATCCTCCAAAAATTTTGCAATTAAGTTTGAGGATTATTCGGTCTATGAAAGAGGATGTTTTTACTTCACTTCTCCCTTAACTGCTGTACAGTTTGTTCGTTTGAACTTTCGTTCTGCGGAATGTTTATTCTGCGGTCCACATCTGGAAGGTCTTAATATTTTTCCACACTATAATTTATTTTTATTACATACACCACTGGAGTATAATTTATCAGATAACCAATTCTAATAGGTGACAAGACAAAAGGAACAGTCACAACACTTAAGCTAAATCGTAGCGTAAGGTTTAAAATGAGAACAATCAATGCAGAGCATTTTGAGACAGTCATATATCGATGAGTGGATAACAGCGATACTTTAATTGTAGACTACAACTAGTAGTTTCCATTAATACTCAGTAATTTTAGTATTAAAATGAGTGTTGTTGGTAGTCAGATAAAATTATTTTATAATTATAAAAATTCTACTATCAACATAACTGTACAATTAATATTGATAAATGTTTCGTTTTTTCAATGCTTGTTTCATAAAATGTAATTAATTGGTAATTAAATAACGTTGACACGAATTTTTTTATCAAATTTAAATAAAATAATGGTTCATTATTGTATATTTAAAGAAAATCATTAGTGTTTAGTGCATTAACTTTTAAAGTTTGTTTTAAAAATGTTTATTATATTTTTTATACTGCAAATATAAATATTAATTCAATAGAGTTGCATGACTAAAGACAACTGCGCATCAACTGAACACAATCAATATGCATATATTGAGCTGGGAATATTACTTTACAAAGGAAACTGATTGATTCTGGAAAAAAATTAATTAAACATCCAATTAAGTCGAATTTGGTGTCACATTAAATGCTAAATTTAAAAGAAGTCGGTCCGGTAGAAATGGTTGAAATTTCGCTCGGCAGTTTTCACCCATGACAAATCGACGGAGAAAGCACTAAAACAGGGGAAGCAAGTTAAATAAAAGTATGTAAAGCACATTTACTAAAAGGCTAAATTTCCGATTGCTTTTGAACATGCTCATAATCTTGGCAGACGATTGTGCTTAGATACTCGCGGACAGATAACTTTAAAGACTTTGACGCTAGTAATAGAAAAGTTTAAATTATGAATATATAATATGTGAATGCGAACGTGTTACAAATGTATTAAATAATGTATATAAAACAAGTAAAACTTTTTCATAGAGGATACCAAATTGGCTCGGCATTGTACCATTTTATTTGTAGATAATTTGAAAAAAAATTCCCTTTTCATCTTCCAAAGGAAACAAATTCTACAGTAATATAGTAGAATAAATAATACAATAATTACATTTGCTAATAAAGAGCGATCACAGTATATATTTTTTTACTTTTGGTTAAGGCATCAGTTTTTATAACATTTTTTTCTACGTAGCGATTAATACACTCTACATTTTAAAGTACAATTTTTCTGTGCATGTTTCAGTTTTAAAAATGTACATAAAAATATAAAATACTTATCAAACGTATTATCAAAACAGTAGCGGAACTAAAAAAAATAGCCATATTTCCTCTCGGAATATCATAAAGGAATAGTTAATAACTCTATCAGTTTAAACAACAATCACCATTTTTACATTAAAAAGCACTTTTTTCGCTACCATTCAATTTAATTATTTGCTATTGAAATAGCTTAATTGTTAATTGAATTTGCTTCAACACACATTTATCGATTATATCTTGCGTAGTTAAGTTTGGTAACCAAAACAGTAAAGTATAAAGTCAAAGACAAATTTATTAAATCAATAAAAGTGTTACGTTTTGCTACGTTTTTATATTTGTAAAAAAATTGCTAGATCTATTGTTTCTTAATTTATCAGAGGACGGTTTTCTCTTCCAATTGTCTTTTAAACATTTGCTCATTATATTCTTAGACTAAATTAGAACTTATATTGCATGAAAATATAACACATGCGACTTCAATTAATTAAACTTATAGTAATTATTTCTTAATTTTGATCATATTTAACTTTTTTGCTAAATTTTGAACTGACCAATGCTTTATACGTATCGGCAAACTTGGAGCTCATTGTTATGTAAATAAAAAAGTTGACGCAAGAGTTAAGCTGGTACAGAAGTTGAATGAGCAGCGTTATTAAAATAAAGGCATTGTTTGACATTTCGTAGTAGTGGTACGTCAGGTAGGTGTGGATGATGTACTCTGGCACCAGGATAAAGAAGCTGACAGCACACACCGTCATCAACATCTTCACCACCTTCATCTCCTTCTTCTGTTTCGACGCCTTGCTCAGCGTCTCCTTAGATCTCTGTCTGATCAGCTGGCCGATGATTAAACTTCCGCTGATGAGAATTAAAATAATCGGAATGGTTGTCGTGGTGTTGTTGATAAAATAACTCACGTACGGTAGTACGATGTCCACGTTCTTTATGTAAAAATCTGTGAAAGTCCAAACTGCTATTGTAATGTTTTGGTTTGGAATAAATATCCATTTATACGTAAGTCGGTAGTAGTACGGACAAACAGGCACAGATCCGAACAGGTATAAACCAAGCAACATCCATTTGACTCTGTAGGGTGTGAATATACGAGATACATGAAAGGGAAACAACACGGCTATTAATCTCTCTATAGCTATAGCTGTGACGTGGAAAATTGTGATCACAAAAGAAACTGAGTTGGGCATTAAAACAACGACATTTGCGAAAGCGTCAAATGTTATAGCATAGTATTGGTCGAAAAGTTTTATAAGACTGGGCAATCGAATGAAAATCGACGTGAAAGAATAGAACAGATCTAATGAAGACAGAGACAGCAACATTATGTTGGTGGTTTCCTTCAGGTTGTGTCGTGACAAGACCAGCAGGTTTAAAATGTTGACCACAACTCCAAGGACACTCAACGGTATGCCGATACACACGTTGAAAAACAGCTCTAGAATCCACATATCCGTATCACTGAAGTCTAGGAGCAGCCCGTCTTTGTGTTCCAGAGTTTTCGATGACTGATTCGTTGCCATTGTCAGGCTTTAGAGTTTAACCTCCTGGCTCTGAAATGTTACGAAAAAATGTTTTGTTTTGTCGAAGGCTGAAACATGGAATATTTGCAGTGGCGTAGCGAGGTCGGGTGTCACCCGGTGCGGCACTTAATGGTGTCACCCCCCCCCCCCAGAGGCGCAGCGACCCTTCCCGAGGACAAACTTTCAAATTTTCGATTTGCACCCCCCCTCAAACTTTCGATTTGCATCCCCCCTCACCCCCCTCACTTTCGATTTGCACCCCTCCCCCTCAAGTTTTTCTCTATATATTTTGCTATTTTTTGCCTTGGTGTCGCCCCCCCTAAAAGGTGTCACCCGGTGCGGTCCGCACCCCCCCTCCCCCTCGCTACGCCTCTGAATATTTGATTAACGTTCCGTTCTGTTATTATTATTTGAACTATACTTTTCAAACATATGATAAAATTTATAATAGGAACTCAGATAACCCATTGCGATAGAGAAATATTTCTCTCTTATATCAAACTAACAACTTTCCACCCTTTTTTTTAAAAAAATTGTTACACGCTAAATTTGATTGCGTTATACGAATACGTGATAAAGTCAAATCCTTTATAATATTTAATACAAATAACTATTTAACAAATAGGGCCTACATAAAATATAACATAACTGGTGTATGTTGTAGTTAAATTTGTAAGCCTCATTTGTTTAAATTTTTTGAATATTCTAAAGCAAAAAGGTAATAAATGACACAGATATAAGTAAGCGTTTTTTATTTTATTTCTAGTGAGTTTAAAAATAAAAATAAATGTCTTTTAAAAATTTTTCTAAAATTTTGTATATACAGACACGAGTAAGAACTTGAAAAAAGTCAACTATCTCTGTGTTGTAGTTAACATTTCTATACTCGATGCCTGAATTCAGGTAAAGAATAAAATATTAGCCCTGTAAATACTATATGCAAACTTAAATACCATTTTATAATAAAACTACTCCTTTGCGAACATATCTATCCTAATAAGAGAGGGGGTGTATTTTACTGCACACACGATGATTACTGCCGCTACACAATGTTGATCTATCAAGGTATTAATCAATAGGAGTTTAAAACTACGGGAAATACAAAAAAAATATTTTAAATATATTGCTTTATATATTGTTTCATATTTTAAATTAGTTTTTTTTAATTTTTTCTCCCTAAATGGTTTTAAAAATAAATGTAATTTATAATTTTAAAAAATCGTTTTCTATACAAATGCTTTAAACCTAAAATTACAGTTACTATCTTAGATAAAATTAATCTGGTGATGAACATTGACAAAGATATCACATTGTTTTAATGTAATAGGTAAATACAATTAAATATATTCTTGGCATTTTATTTCTAATAAAACAATATTTTCTTACACTACACCAAATCCTAAAATAACAAATGAGAACGAGACAGGATATAGGATAAGCTTTAGAATACACAGCTATATAAAAACATATTAATTAGTAATGCCTAAAATATTAATGGGAAATTAAAAATATAACTGTAAATTTTCGTGTCAACCCTACGTTATTACCACTCATTAGTTAATTATTAGGCAATTAAATTATTAATTTAATTTGATAATCAACGTTTAAAATAATAACGTATCTATATTGTACGTAATGACAAGTGAATCAGACAGTGTTCGCTTCGTCTGACTATTTACGGGAAACTTTAATTGTCAATTTTCCACAGACCAGTAATTATCTAATACGTTTTTTAAAATCAATAAATAAATGACTGTTGGTAGTATCCGTTTTTGTTTGTTAAACAGTTATTGTTTTTTAACTTCTATATCACTGTACAGTGTATAGTTATGTAGTATATAGTTATCTCTTAACCTCGGGGTTGCGGGTAATTAGTACGACCGTCGGCGATGTTTCTTCTCGACTCTGTTATTAAGGACTCCCGGGGTTAATTTTAAAACTATCGAATGAATAGATTGTCCCAAGCTATCGATTTTCACTCTAACTCTATTCTCCGTAAACACAATAACACTATATTTTATATACCAATAAGTACTTCATAAGACTTTTTGGTTTGTGTTTGAGTGTAGTGAAACTTTAATCATTCCGTTTTTTTTTGGCCAGGCCATGGCTGAGTCAAACCTCCAAGCTTATTTAAAATAATATATTTAAAAAAAAAAAAAAAAAAAAAAAAAAAAACAACAACAGTAGTATTGGTTGTTTACTGATCACTGCCAAATTTCGAAGTTCAATTTTATTTATTTTTAGCAACATTTCATCGTTTGATTTTATAATTATATACATTTTTAGTTTTAGGTGTCGGGATAAAAAAAAATGGTATTTAAAAAACATATTTTTAAATCCATTTTATAAAGGTTTTTTTGTTTGTTTTGTTTAACAAGTTTGCTTAAATTCTTGATTCTACACAGATGTGTTATTGAAGAAAGCGCCCCCACAACAAAGTTATTTGAAAAACAATATTTCAATTGTGTATGTGAGCTCTATCCAAAGATAGTTTTAAACCTGTTAGAATTTCTAACTAAACTGTAAGAGATAACTCTACCCAGCAGAAACGGAAAGAAACTGAACTATTAATATGACAAGGAATGGAAAGTAATAACTTGTGATTGTCCTCTAGTGATTCACGGACTCGCCAGCATGGGGGCACAACTTATTCAAGGATTCTCGCGCACCACCGTGGGGACACATTTTATTGTCATTCAGTTATACGAACAACGTACCGGCTCTACCATCATTCTGTCATGTTGCAGAACAGTAGTCGACATTAGAAAATCAGATGTTCTGCTCCACTGTAATAGTGTTACATTTATCACAAAAGTTGTAATTCTTGTCACAAAAGTTGTGATTCTTATCACAAAAGTTGTAATTATTTTCACAAAAGTTGTAATTATTTTCACCAAATTTGTAGTGTGGCTGGTGTTTTCCCCCGCAAGCTTTGATATTGCTGATGTGAGAAGTAAAGGAGTCGTCATTCACTTCCGTCTAAGCTATTGGGTTCTGGTTATTGACAAAACTTACACATTAATTATTATCGGCGTGTCTGTAGAATGCTTTGTAATTGGTATATTATTAAAATATATTTAAAGTTGAATGTAAAATGCCAAAATGTAAATGATCAATGTTTAGGTTTTAATGAATACCATGGATGAATGTTGTTTTCACCTTGACTACGTCTTGGAGTTTAAATTAGACGTACTTGAACTGTTTTATGGATCTTGTAATATCGAATGTGTTGATAAAATAAAACCAAAACTTAATATAGCTGGATGATGGTATGCTTGAGTGGTAGTGTTCGTATCCGTTGTATTAACAAGTTCTCATTATAGTAAGAAAGCTGGACATAATGCTGCCCACACTATTTATATGCGACGTCATTGCTTCAAAATTTAATATTGTACTTGACGTTCTTACCGAACCTTCACGACTGTTGTATCTTTTATTGTAAGTGAGGTCAGACTATAAAATGCACACACACACTACTATATATACCTAAGCTGCTTTATTAATATAAACACATTCTTTTAGCTATAACTTATATATATATATATATATATATATATATATATATATATATATATATATATATATATGTATATATATATATATATATGTATATATATATATATATATATATATATATATATATATATATATATATATATATATAAAACCACAACAGACAATATCGAATAAAACGCAGCAAACGTTTTTATACCATTTTATTTTTTTAAATTCAATTAATTAAATACGAGTTTAATTAACAGAGATTTTGCTGTTTATTGGGGTCGGCGTGGTCGAGTCGGTTAAGCTCATGGTTGCTAAACCGAAAAGTCTCGAGTTCGAACCCTCGGGCAGATGAGGCTCGTTAGCTGGGACAGTCACTCTTCTAGGAGAGACAACTCCAAAATTAAACAACTGCTGCCTTGTAGTTTGTTCTTGGTTGGACAAAGGCTATGGAAGCAAATCCAAAAAGAAAAGCAGGCTGAAATCGGAGTCAATGGCCTCAATGGCGCATAACCAGTTGACACGTAACGCTTAATTGTGTTGGAGGCGTGGTCGAGTCGGCAAAAAGCTCATAGTTGATAAATTCGAACAAAGTCTTGAGTTTAAACTCACTGGCAGATAATTCTCGATCCCCTCCAATACTAATAATTAAGAACGAAGAAGAAGAAGAAGAAGAAGGACTGTAGAAATTATTTTCTGGAAATAACTGGACCTGAGTATATGAGTTGGCGTTCCTTCCAGAATATTGTTATATATCCATATGACGATATAAAATACTTCTCTTTGGTGGTCTCTTTGGTAATATAAAGTCGACACAATGTTTAAAGCTTTCTATTTAAGGCACATGTTTGTTTATCCAGTATTAAAAGTATGAATGTGCTTGGACATTTCTTCATTTTAATAAGATCCATTATTATACAATGTTTGGTTTTTTTACAAAAAAATACATTTAAAATAAATTTACCATTTCCTTTGTAAAATGTAATAGTAAAAAGCTATTTTTAAGCAAAATCAATAGGTTTTTTCTCCTTTATTTAGCAACGAAACATCTTGTGGTAAGATATGGTGACTCACAAAGTAATATGTGTGGTTAAACACAAACTCTGGCCGCTCCACACATTTGTATTCTCTAGTGAATACCACATGTGGGTTCAGGAAATATTTCTCAACGGTGTGGTTAACATTTTTAACTTTCCTTGTCAAGACACAACCTGAAGGAAACGACCCACATAATGTTCACTGGATGACTGTTATTCTTTCACGTGAATTTTCATTCGCTTAGAGTTTTAAAAATCATTGATAGCTCTTTTAGCGAACTCGTCAACACATTTATGCAGCTATCTATCTAGAAATCTTTTACGCTGTGTGCTTTGCCTTCACAATTTTTCACGTTACAGCTATAGAAATTGAAAAAAAAAGCCATTGAAACATCATTTTGTGGCGACTTCTAGCCTCTACCTGCGCCCCCCCCCCCCCCCTCTAATCTGTGGCATAAC